CCGTCCGCCGGTCCGTCCGATGCGTCCGCTGCGTGCAGTCCGTCCGTCCAGGTCCGTCGATCCGTCCGCCGCCGTCCGTCCGTCCGTACCGTCGGTCCGCTCCGTCCGGTCCGTTCGTCCGCCGTCCGTCCGTCCGTCCCGTCCGTCCGCCGTCACGTCCGTCCGTCCGTCCGTCGTCCGTCCGTCCGTCGTCCGTCCGTCCGTCCGTCCGTCCGGTTCCGTCCGTCCCGTCCGTCCGTCCGTGACCGTCCGTCCGTCCGGTCCGTCGATCCGTCCGTCCGTCGTACCGTCCGTCGTCCGTCCGTCCGTCCGTCCGTCCGTCCGTCCGTCCGTCCCGTCCTTCCGTCCGTCGTCCGTCCGTCCGTCGTCCGTCGACTCCGTCCGTCCGTCCGTCCGTCCGTCCGTCCGTCCGTTCGTCCGTCCGGTCCGGTCCGTCCGTCCGTCCGGCCGTCCGTCCGTCGTCGTCGTCCGTCACCGTCCGTCCGTTCCGTCCGTCCGTCCGTCCGTCGTCCGTCCGCGTCCGTCCGTCCGTCCGTCCGTCCGTCGTCCGTCCGGTCCGTCGTCCGTCGTTCCGTCGTCGGTCCGTACCGTCCGTCCGTCCGCCCGCCCGCCGCCGCACGCCCGCGCCCGCCCGCCCGCCCGCCCGCCCTCCGCCCGCCGCCCGCCCGTGCGTGCGGTGCGTGCGTGCGTGCGTGCCGTCATGCGTGCGTGCGTGCGTGCGTTAGCGTGCGTGCGTGCGTGCGTGGTTGCGTGCTGTCCGTGCGTGCGTTGCGCTGACGTTCCGTCTATTATAACGAAGCTTTGGGAAAAAAAGCTCTGAAGAGTCTTTGTGTAAAAGGACTCTGGGTTCTAAACATGAGGGACTGCTTAGAGAGTTGAGGCACTCCACCATGCTGAAGAGCATGAACGACCGCGAATTGAGTTATCTCAACATATTTGGGTGCAAAAGGCAGGGAGTTGAAGGCTTTTCTATATAAAGCAATACCTATGAAGGAGAAGAGTTTCTTTTCTTGCATTGGGGAGCAAGGGGGGGGGCGAAGGTGCGAGAGAGAGAGAGATTCTAGAAGATAGGAATTTAGAAAGTGGAACGTTGATCAAAATTGATCAAGAAACCTATAAAAATATGATAATTCACACATTTTTTTTTTCAATTTTATTTGCAATCACATTACCCCCTCACTTTTTTTCAATCGTTTGTTGAATTTATCCAAAAGTTAAGAAAAATATTTGAAAAATCTGTGGTAACTATTTTCAATTTACATTATTGCCATATCATGTTAAAGTTGTTTTGAAATAAAAAGCCAAGAATAATATGGAGTATTTTAATTTTTCTAAGGGCTTCCACTAAAATTCATTAAATTAAGACAGGTTTACCCTCCTTCACATTACATGACTTTTTTCAATCATTGTTAATCTTTCAAATATATATATATATATATATATATATATATAATATTGCTCTTCATTTGTTAAAGTGGTTTTTGAAATAAAAAGGGCAATCTTATTGTGGTATTTTTAATTTCTCATGTAATTACTTACAGTTTGTAAAGACACTTCCCCTTGGATATTACTAAAGATCGCCTCTTAAAAACAAGCCTCGCAAATGAAGTGAAAAATATATGAACTCGAACCATCTGGGGAAGAGATGACCCTTTTTTAACCAACAAACTTTGGTTGAATTGAAAGAATATGCACTCTGTAAAAAAAAAAAGATCACCCTTCATATTATCCAACCGTAACTTGATATTGGTCAGTGACATCTGCTGGGAGGTAGATTAATTATGTCGTTATGTTCCGGATTCGATATGGACCAACCAATCCAAGACGCACCACGTCACCAAAATATACACCGGGGACCAGGTGTTTTAGGAGACGTGGCGTGTCTGTATTGGGTGTCCGGTACCGTACGTAATAAATTCTCCCTGCTGGGAAGGCATCTGAGATGGTAGCAATGCCTGGAGACCCTTGGAACTAAGTTATCATAAAAAATAACCACTCTTCACCCTCATCGTTACTTTTTTTTCTTCAAAACTCCTCTTAGTGTTTTCCCATCGATGCCTCTGATTTGACAATGAGAATGATGAGATCTCATCGTTACATCGTTATCTCTTCTTAACCTTTCCAAGCCTGCAAATAACGTTGGATGCCCATCCCCGAAGAGATCTCTTGTCGATTTCTCATCTTCTTCTTTATCCTTCACATTGTATTGGTAACATCATATTCCTTTTCTAGTGGATTCTCATCACGACTTTATCTGTCCTTATATCCTTTCTAGTGGATTCTCAGCACGACTTTATTGTCTTGGCAAGATCTTTCATCGCAACCTCTTCACCCTTCTTCATCCTTGAGGGTTTAAGAGTGTAGATGCAATGAGTTAATAAATGTTTTAGGCTTAAATATGTAAAAAATAATAATTTTTTAGTTATTATGTATGTAAAATATCAATTTAAGAAAGATAGTAAATTACATGACATACTCTGGGGGGTGTAAGATGATTAGACTCAAGTTCAACTCACAACTAACTTAATTTAGATCCTTACTTATTTTCCTATCGACAGCACAAATTTCAACCTCGAGCTTCAGTCAAACTAAGGGGTGTAGTGAGCCGAAGCCGGTTCGTGAGCCGGCTCGAACTCGACTCGTTAACGAGCTCGCGAGTCCGAGCTTATCGAAGCTTCGAGCTCGAGCTCGAGCCTACAATCCGAGGCTCGAATGCTTACGAGCTCGAGTTCAAGCTTCAGCCTGACTCGACTCGAAAGCTTAGTTCAGCTACTCGATTTAATTATATTATATTATATTAAATATTAATTATATATAAATAATTACCCATCACATGCATTGATAATTTCTCAAACGAGCTCGATCTCAGGCTCGAGCTTTTTCAAACGCAGCTCGAGCTGATTTTTTCTTAACGAGGTCGACTCGAGCCTACATAATCGAGCTCGATCTCGAGCTTGAGCTCGAGCTCGAGCTCATTAAAGGACTTAAACGAGCCAGGCTTGGATAAGGCAATTACTCGACTTCGACTCGACTCGTTACACCCTAAGTCAAACTCATAATATGGGCTCGATCAACCCAAAATTCTCAAAAGCTCTTGCAGGCATCTATTAAGATTTTTGTTTGGAGAAGCATCGTAACAACTGGACGAGAAGGCATCAAACGGGAACTCACAAATAATGGTTTCATGGGACCAATGCGAAAAAGTAGACAACAGAAACTTCAAGAGATGGCGATAATAAGACTAGCATAAGAAGTCCATGATTGGTTAATTTCGTGGAGATTTGCATTCTTGGGACCAGGGAGAAGATTAATGACAAAAGCCAACAACATTCATAAACTATTTAGAAGGAATTGGGGAATTTAAAATAAATGACCAAATGACGCGGACTAGCAAGCTAATTAGCCAATCCACAAGTTTGTAGCTCATAAAATATATTGACCTACCAAATATCTCAACTTGCAAGCTAATATAAGTCAAATTTCGAGCCAACCTTGCCAAGTCAGCGCAACAGACCTCTCTATACTGACCCAATGAAGGCTTCACATGCAGTAGAATACATCAATTATTTCGATCTAAGTTACACAGATATGCATTACAACTTCTGAAGTACAGATCAAATCCCTAAAAGTCACTGACCGGCCCTTATTCTGGGTTGGACCCAGTTCTTACTAAGGGGCACTAGAATTTTTTCAGCCTAGTTAGTCCATAGGTTGAATTGATATACACTGCTTAAAGTTCTGAGATCAAATTCAACACATCACACAACAACTTCGTGCAGAGAAATCAATGCTTGGAATGAGATTCTCCTTGTTTAACGTTAACCGGACATTAATGAAGAGGAGAATGCCTTTACTAGATTTATAGTCACCATACAAAGAAATTTTCAGAAATCTTACTTCTTTCATTTAAGCTATAAGATTCCTTCTTATTGAAGACCAAAAGAGCATGTCACCACACTTGAATATTTTAATGATTAGCAGGCCCATCTTCCCAATAGATTTTTAATTTCAGCGCAGAAATTTTTCCAGTTTCTCGACCTTTTTATGCTGGTAACAAAGGAGGATTTAAGTGTGCACTGCACCAAATGACTAGTTTAGAGGTACGAATCAAGAGCAATCACAGGAATGATCCAATGGTATTCTTATATAAAAAAAAAAAAGAAAAAACAAAATGAAGAAAAAAAAAATCTTAACTATTCGATAATATATATATATCAAACTCCCAATTCAACAACACAGCCAACTCCAACCAAAAGAATAAGCATGAAATAGACTGAACTTGCATCTTATCTACTATAGTCAAAGCATAAGCAGAAGTGCACCAATTTGCCACAGCAAAGGAAGTAACTGAATCTACTACAGCAATGCCGATGCGAAGGAAGAATCATTGTTAGTTGATTTCTGATAGATTTGGGTTCCCTCTCCCTTCTTCTCCTATAGGTGCCAAACCCCAAATATGGGCTGAGAACAGGGCGCAGGTGCTGGGGTGGTGTGAAGAACTGCGTGCTGTAGTAAAACAATGCCATTCGGAAGGAGAACGCTGTTTCACTCATAACTGCAACAGGGTCTGTAGAGTAGACACTGCTGCTGATCTTTGGTATGGACCAGTCACGAAACCAAACCTGAATAAGCCCGCTGGTGTCGGTGAGGTTTAGCGTGTACATGACCTCCGCCAAATGTGCTCACAGGGTTCTTGCTGCTGAGGTCCTTGAAATCAGGACGGGAATAGTACTTTGGGAATGATGGTAGAGGAGCCAGGGACTTTCTTGAGCCTGGTCTTTGTTGAGTTGAGAAGGAGGCTTTTGGATGTCTGCGAATGCAGAAATCGCTCGGGACAAAGATAGGATTCCTTGTTTCAGTGTTGTTGCTTGGTTTTGGAAAGGTTTGATATGACATCGGTTTGGACGAGGAGGTTTGAGGAAAGGTCTGGAACGGGGCCAGCGAGGGAGAGAAAATCTGTGAGATTTGGACAAAGTGAGGGAGCTGGAGCGGGGGCAGGTGAGGGGATGGAGAGAGAAGTAGAGGAATGGAGGATTGGGCAGTAAATGGGAGAGCTCACATAGGGTAAGATGCTACATATCAAGAATTATGTGGTCAGACCATTTCTTTAATTTATCAGCTTGTTTCCTAATATATCGGTGATTGAGCTTCCTGTTTCCCAACAAGTTTATATTAACTCACAAACTTTTGCAAGTATGGAACATTCTTTTCAAGAATAGAAAAACAATAATTGTATAAATCAGTGATAGTAATGTCATTAATTTATGGCATGAAGATTTACAATGAATGCATGAAAGCAAAATTCCACAGGTTGTCAGCCTGAATATGATCTATAAGTTGATTCTTTTTTTTGGAAGTTAGGGATTCGAGTCCTGTGAGAATAGGAGGAATTTCTCTCGTCGACCATCTCGGCCGCTAGACCCGATCTCTATGAAATTGATCTCAATTTTTTACAAAGATTATCTAGATTTATATGACAGACATATTTCCAAAGCAGGTTTGGAGAATGGTTTGATTGCCACACCTTTGACCTAAGGAGGGTACGGATTGCATGTAGCCAGCTCAACCCACACATGACAGTTTGTGGAGATATTATAAGCTACAGAAATAGCAAAAGTCTAACGAGTAAAGTCTAATGGTAAGAGACCAGAAATTGAGTTCAAAAAGCTATCAGATGAGCTGGGAACTTTGAGTACAATTGTAATACTATTCCTACTGTTGCAGATCAATATAAAAAACAACATCAAAATAGTTATTAGAAAACGAAAACTACATTGAACAAAGATTAAAGACTAAAGTGCCTTAATTGAAATAAATGCT